GAGGAACCCACGTTAAACAAGGAGGGCCTTCCCTCCGCTTCTGTTGTAAACATTTGATTTGTTAGTTTGTAATAAGCTTTCTTATAAATACAAACGAAACTCCTTTCTTCGGAAGAATCAAATTTTCACCCTACAATCCTCCTCAAGTCTACACACCAACCAACTCCTGCTCCCGTGATGGCTCTGAATAATTATATGCTGACAACTCCACTTCTAGAATCTCATCTGATTCTCTCTATTAGTCTCATCCGTCATATACTCGTTTGCCTTATTTGCCATCAGATCTGTCTCGTTACTACCATCAGAACTTTTCACCACTTTCTGACCAATTGTAGGCGTCTAAAAATAACTATAGGTATCCACACACAGCTCGAGACAGAGAGAAGGTGATGAACGCCATTATCTAAGTCTAAGGGGATTATCCGACGCCGACGAATACATGAAGCGAAACGACAAACCGAATGGCCTGTGCGCTCATCGGCCACCTCCAAGTGGCCTGTGTACTCGTCAACCAGCTCCAAGTGACCCACGTGCTCACCGGTCACCACAAAGTGGCCCGCACGCTCATCAGCCACCAAATCGGCAACCAAGTGACCTGCGTGCTCACCGGCCACCACCAAGTGGCACGCACGCTCATCGGCCACCTCCAAGTGGCCCGTGTACTCACCAGCCACCAAATCAGCAAACCAAGTGGCCCGCCTGCTCATCGGCCACCAAAATGAATCGAGGAAGCGTACAAGTCAACGAAACAATGAAATACGTGTAACGACAGAACAAGTCAAAACCCGAAAAACCAATAAAAGTCGCTGGTGGCCGAGTCATATCAAAACGACTCGGCCGAACCAGTGGTTCGGCCCAAAGCCAGATCACCAGAAGGTGACTCGGCCGAGCCACCAAATGGTGGCTCGCCCAAGGCCGAGCCACCGGGTGACAATCGGCCAGATTTGATAATTTGTTAGTTTTGACTGTTTTTCTTAGGATTTGTTTGTTTCTGAGCGTTCTAACTGATCTGATACTGTGGTTAATCAGTTACTAACTGAAGATAAGGAGGAATCCCTTGTTCTTATCCAAATACCCGCTCCCGAAGCTTATAAATTCGAGCTCGGGTGCTCATTTCTGAAGGGGGCATCAAGAGTGCGAAGCGCTGCCGAATTGGAGAGTGGAGCCATGAATTTACAGCAAGGGTTAGCAGATCTTAGCAATCTCCTGTGCATAAAGAGTGGAGTTCGAGTGATCTGAAACCCGTCCCCTATTCCTCCGGATTTAAGCTTGGTCTTAAATCTCGAGAAGAGCCATAATTTGATCACCAATCTGTCAACCGGATCTGATCCGCGGTGGTCCACGGATATTAACGTCCTCGACACAGGCAAAGTTCCCACGCAAGCAGCGGGTGATAAACGTCTGTTGCGCTGTTTGACAAGAGTTGTAATCTTTATTTTTATTGTATAAAGGAGATCTTATAAAAAAGATCAACTTTTCTTTTTATTTGAGTTTATTGTAATGACCAAAGTTGTAATAGATTCGATGACAATAAAAACATCAACTTTTGACCCAAACACCAATCTGAGCATCATCTGAAAAATCAAACCCTTCCATCGTGTTCAGAGCACTCTAAAACCTAGGAATTAACTCCTAGATCGTTGAAATCTGCCTCCAAACCCTCAATCAGAAAATAAATTAATCTACTTTTTTTTATTTTCTTTATCTTCATCTTGATTCTTATAACGTCGTCGATCTTCAATTTGCACGACGTCGACTTCTATCTTGCGAACTCGCTCCCGGATCCACCATCGTCGCTCTAATACCACTTATTAGGATTTTTAGATCTCGTAAAAACCCGAAAAACCACCAAACGCAGCAAATATAATTACACGAGATTTAACGTGGAAAACCCTCAACAGAGAAAAACCACCGTATCAAAATCAATCCACTATCACCTCCAAATTATAATCTTTTGCACAAAGAATCAAAGATATACAAAGAATCAAAGACATAATCCCAACATCATTAGTTTATTTTCAATGAAACATAGTGAACTTTTTGTTTCGCTTACCCAAAATAGTTAGCCCAAGAAAATAAGCTAGCTAGCTAGCTAAAAATGTGACCAATAATATTCCACTGTCACTATTTTGATGGAGAAATTGACGTAATTGTAACCTATCTTTTATAAAAGCTTTTTACGGCTTGAATGGATGAGTGAACGAGTCCATGAACATTAAGCACAGCTCCTGATCTCGTGCATCATTCACCATAAAAGCATGCTACTGTGTGAGTCTTGCCCAGTGCAATTGGTTTCACAACAGGAAGTAGCCCACGTGGAGGACAAACACCTAAGCCTCTTATTAATTGATCCTACCACCTCGTCAATTTAATTATTAACCAACTGCGTGATGGCTAAAAGGGTTGGGGCTAATTAATGTGGTGATTAATTGCGTGCGGTGGTTGTTTAATTAAAGCACGACAAGTACGTGTATAAGATACATTAATGAGTACATGATGGTATATTCACAAATTAATCATGTAAAGTTTATGCATGATCTCTTCATGGCAATGCTTGGATGATGGTTGATGTGACATATACGCACCTGAACATCATGTTGAAATAAACACGGACTCCTTTTGATTTGTGATGTCCGGTAATATTCAAATCAACATCCAAATATATACAAGTATTTGACATTTATTAGACGGATGGATACAAGAAATAATTTACATGACGGTAAATTTCAATTCATAATTGAGTCATTGTTCATGATTTGCGTTCAGATCTAGTTTTCGATCGGGCCGAGCTAGTTAAAAGCCTACGGGCCGGGTCTTAGACACCCCTTGATATTCATATTTGCAAATAATATATGCATATATCTACGAAACTATCCCAACACAGTGCGCACTTGCAAAAGCCATCCCAAAATCTCAATATTATAAACTGAGGCTAAATAACCAATTGTGCAAAAGCCATCCCAAAATCCCCCGCGTATACAATCAATATCTGGGGCATTCTTTGTGAAAAAAATGCATCGAATGGACTAAAGTGAACATGTGTATGGCTCGAATGTTTTTTCACCACTGAACTGTTGGGGATTCGAAACAATCAAATCGAACCATTACCCTTCTAGGTCTTGTGTTTAAAAGTAGGAAAGTAGGAAAATCACAGCAAATAAAAGATAAAAAAAATTACAGGAAAGTAAACAAGAAAAAACACACCAGATTTTAACGAGGTTTGACAATCGTGCCTACGTCCTCGGGAGCCACACAACATAATTCTTTGATTAATATTAAAGAATATTACAATGCCCACAAATAAGATTTAATCTCTCTGAGATCACTCTGAAGAATTCTCTCAAAACCCTTTTTTTCTGATGTCTAATCTCTTCTAAGTCGTTCCGTATATATAGAAAACCTAAAACCAAAACAGACTAGGAGTTCTAAAACCAAAAAATAAAACAAGTTAGGAATCCTAACAATCCGTTACCAAAACAGATTAAGAATCATGTTACCAAAACATATTAGGAAGCCTGCTATCCAACAATTTGTTTGATTCGAGCTTTGAGTCTACATCCCTTAGACTAACATGAACCGATGATCATAAATGACAACTCTAAAAATGATGTTATACATGAAAACAGACGGGTTCTTATAATAGAAGTGCCTAGCTCCCACTGACAGAAGAGGGATGTACATATTACACCCAAAAACATCCCTGGCTACAGCAAGTACACACTTTATTCATGAAAGTTAGCTTGCTATATTAATAACAATAGCTTCACCGGCAACACACCAATTAACCCTCGTTCTGAGCAACTCCAACAGTTCGTAGTTATGCGTTGAAATGGATGCGTTAATTTATGCTGCCACGGTCTGCGTGAGCAAAAAATGAGCTGCGATGTGTGAATCAAAGCCTATATACGCGTGTAAATATTCTAAAGTTTCACTCTTTCTTAGCTTGATCAGGTTCAATTTGACTATCTATAACCCAAAGTGCAAAGGGGCCGACATCAATTTTGTTCAATAATATAAATATTAGGAAAGTGAACGAGAAACACTCTGCTCACCTTTTATTATTATTATTATTATTATTATTATTATTATTATTATTATTATTATTATTATTATTATTATTATTATTATTATTATTATTATTATTATTATTATTATTATTATTATTATTATTATTATTAGAGTTTGCAGAAAGTGAGGGGCAAAGCTAGAATTTTTGGGCATTATATTGTCAAGTTAGCGTTATTTTCAAAACTTTAGGGAACCAAAATTTTGAAGAAGAAAAAAACTTTAGGGTATCAGAGTTAAAAACGCGTGTAATATTGGAACGCTAAAGCGCAAATATCCCTATATTTGCTCAATTTATGAAAACAAAAATATGGTTAACTCGTTTATAAACCTTCATTGTAAAAATTTCTAATCTTCCAACAAATATAAATATTCCTATACAAAATCATGATATGTACCAATAAAATAATCCCAAGCGGGTTCAAATGCGTTCATCAAAACTAAACCTCGCCGTATAAAAATATACAAACCATATCAGATCATTTCATATTAGTAGGATGTAGTAAATCTTAGAGGAGCTATCTATAATATCTGAATTGCCCTCCGTACCCTCCCAGTATGTTCCAAGACGCGTTGCTCATACGCAAGAAAGTTCTGGTATACAATAAAAATTATTTGAAATAAAATAATAAATAACTACCATATTAAATAAATCACATATTTATACACACATATTGTGTGTCCTCTCATTACTTCCCCCCTCCTTCCCTAGATTCCTTGAACTCACAATAAAGACCTTCCCATCTAGATAATGAAGCAAATAACATGGAATCATCTTGCACTAATTATCTTATTAATTTAATCTCAAAAATATACATCTCCCCCCCTCAAACAAAGATTTCCACCAATAAATGCTTGTTGTAAAATTAAAATCTTAAACCACCTATAAATAGCCCCCTCCTCTCTCATCCTGTCCTTGTCCTCTCTACCAACCGCCTCTCTCTCTCTCTCTCTCCGCCCTCTGTTTCTCTCTCTCTCTAAACCCCTACTCTGTTCTTATTTTCTCTCTCTTGGGTTTCATTAATTAATGGCGGCAGATGTGAGCACTGGGATAAATGGGGATGAGAAGAAGAAGGAGCTGGTGACCAGGGATTTGTTGGGTGACAAGGAGCACTGGGAGAAAAATTTCGAGCCTTTGGTAATCTCTATACTCTCTTGATTTATTTTTCTTCAACTTCTCATGTCAAGATCTTGATGGGTTTTCTTGTTAATTTACTTCTGAGTATTATGATTTTTTTGCAAATAAATCGATCTTTTTTTTTTGTTTGCTTTTTTAAAAGCATTTTCTTTACTTTTGAAATTGCATGAAATCCTCTTGGTTGTACCACGTCTTTAGAGGGAAGCCCCTCGATGAAGTGTAAAAATTATCCACTCATCTACAATCATTAATGAAACCAATGGAGTTCTGTTTGTTCAGAGAGGCATAATTATATAATTAACGGTTAATGGTAAATATTTATATTTTCATATTGTCTGAAAATTAGTTTTTTTCCCTTCTCACAATCTGTTAATTTTGAAGACCTTGTATAAAATCAAAAATCTTGTTTTTTTAATAATCCAATCCGAATCGAATCTAAAATAGTGAGAGCCGTATTGAAACCTTCAAACTGTCCACATCATTTTACCGTGAATACTTATAAATTTTATTGAAGCGATAGATTAGAAGGTTTTCTTGTTGAACTTTATGGACAAGCGGGTTTTTTGCTGAATTTTTAGAGTAAATGATTCTCATAGATGAATTGAAGTAGATTTATTTTAATTAACCTTATGGTTTAATAAAATTTAAATTTTCAATTTTTGCCCGATTTAAATTGGATTTCCTTCTTGGAAAGGAGATTAACAAAAATTCCCACTGTTTTTTTTTCCTTGAGCAGTCTACAAATTCCAACTGCTCTCAGGAGCTCAAATCCGGTCCAGTGTCCCGCGAGCTCCACGATCTTAATCTGCCCCCACCTCCAGCGCCCTCCTTCGCCAGCGTTTGCACTCTAGAAAAAGTCAAGTCCGCCCTCGAGCGCGCCATGCGGGCCCCGAATCCGAGCCCAAATCCGAACCCGAAACCGATCGGATCTCATTCGACCTCGAAGAAGCGCGCTCTTGAAAAGGAGCCAGCGAACGGCCAGGATGAATCGGGTTCGGGTTGGGGTTCGGGTATGGTTAGTGGTGGGTCCATGATGTTGACCGTTTGTCCCGGTTGCTTTCAGTACCTGCTAGTACCTAAGGTGGACCCCAGGTGTCCTAGGTGTGACTCGCACGTGCCGTTTCCAAAGAAGGCAAAACTTGTTGATCTTAATTGTTCAGCTAGTTCGCCAAACAATAATTAGCGGCGTTGAAAAATATATAGGGCGTGATATATAAAATGGGTTATATATGTACTTTTTGAGGAAGAGGGGGAATAGTTTTTGGGATTTTGAATGTAGGGGGAAGGATAAAGAAAAAGAAGAAAAGAGAAAAGAAGACCGTTTTGAAATTATGATGATGAATTTTTGTTGGTCCTCTTTTATGTTCTTTTTTTTTTTTTTGCATATGTCGTGTTTAATTATTTATTATTTTGATTTCTTTTCTTAGACTTGCAAGGATGTTTGTTGTGATAAGAGATAAGAATGAGGTAGAAGAGAAAATAAATGGCTATTGCAGTCTAGGACAATTATTTATTATTTTGATTTCTTTTCTTAGACTTGCAAGGATGTTTGTTGTGATAAGAGATAAGAATGAGGTAGAAGAGAAAATAAATGGCTATTGCAGCCCGGGCCCGGCCGGGGCCCGGCCCGGCCGGGCCCGGGTCGCCGTTGGCGAACCCTGTCCGGGCCCGGCCCGGGCCCGGAACAGTGCCCAAAAATGGGCACTGGTTCTGCCCCTTAAAACGGTCAAAAAACGGCTATTTTTCGAGGGTTTTTTGGTCATTTACCTAGGGGGCTGCTTCTATAAATAGAGGGGGGGTTTCAATTCATTTTCTCACAACAAAACTCATCTATTTCTCTCTCTACTACTCTCTTATACAATCTTATACTATCTCATACTAATATACTATCCTATAATCTTTTGTATTTTCTAATACTTCCAACAAATGGCTTCTGGGTCTGATTATGAAGAGCAACATGCAACTCCTACCGATCCAGAGATGAGTCCTCCTACAACAACTCCTCATCCTACCGGTGTTAATCCTGAATCTGGTGGCGACGAATCTACGGCACCAAGAGCTCCAAAAAGGCCGAGGTCTGATGTATGGAATTTTTTTGAGAAGATAGACGTCACCAAGGATGAACACGGTAGGATCATCTCTCAGAATGCGAAATGTGCGTTGTGCGGCCAGATATTCAAAGCTCATCATAAGAGCGGCACCAACCATCTCAAACGGCATATTGAAAAACACAACAAAGGCCAAAATCTACAAGGTGATATCCGGCAGTCTATGCTTTCCCAATCATCCTCTTCAGGTACCCTCGGCAGTTGGAATTATGACGCTGCCCGAGCCCGGAAATGCGTAATCAGGTTTATTGTTCTTAAAAACCTTCCTTTTAAATTAGTAGAAGATGATGAATTTGAAGATTTATTTAGAGATGGTTTTTATCCTGCATTTACAAAATTTTCTCGTCAAACCTGTCAACGTGATATTTTAAAATATTATGTTGAGGAACAGGGAAAAATAATTTCTTATTTTAAAAATTTAAACTGCAAATTTTCTTTAACTTCTGATATTTGGTCATCTAGAGTGCAAACTGGTTATTTATGTATAACAGCACACTGGATTGATGAAAGTTGGAAAATGTTTAAAAGAGTTGTTTCTTTTATTGCAATTGAAGAGTCACACACTGGTATTAATGTTGCAAATTTAATTGTTGAAGAACTTATGAAACTAGAAATTGATCAAAGAATATTTACTCTTTCACTAGATAATGCAAGTAATAATAATGTAGCTGTTGATTTTCTGAAAATAACTTTGTCATTGCCATGTCATGGTGAGCTTTTTCATGTTAGATGTATCTGTCATATTTTAAATTTAATTGTTCAAAGTGCATTTTCTGAAATTAAACCCATGATAGAAAAAGTTAGAACAGTTACTAATATGCATAATGCTTCTGAAATGAGAATTAAAAGATGGAAACAATGTTGTAAAAGAAAAAATTATAAGCCTAGACTAATTCCAAAAGATGTTGACCATAGGTGGAATTCCACCTATGCAATGTTATCTGTAGCAATAGAATATAAAGAAATTATAAATGATTTTATAAATTTTTATGCTTCTAGTTCTAGCTCTGGTAGTGCTTATGGAATAACTGAAGATGAATGGACAGTTATATGTAAATTAAATGAGATGTTACAAGTTTTTTATGATGCTACTATGTTATTATCTGGTTGTTATTATCCAACTATTACTTTAGCTGCTTTACAAATTTTAAATATTCAAAAAAATTTTACAAAATATCGTATGGATGATATTTTTGGAAGTATAATTTTTGAAATGGAGAGTAAATTTAATAAGTATTTTAGGCCTATTCCTCATATTTTTGGTATTGGTGTTCTTATTGATCCATGCTTGAAGGAAATTGGCCTTCGAAGTTTGTTACAATCATTGTATGGTGGACAGATTATAGACTTAGATGATGGATCCACCCTTACTGCTACTACTCATTATTTAGCTATTAGAAATTATTTTCAAACCTTATATGATGAGTATGCAGCTAGATATGGTGTAGCTACACAACAGTCTTCAGCTTCGGCACCTTCAGCTTCGAGCACAGGTCGAGGTAAAAGTGTAAGTTTTGATAGGTATGCAATGGTAGCTGAACTAACTGGTGGATCTGGAACTTCATCAGGATTAGATGTTTCTGAAATAGATGAATATTTTTCTGCTTCTTTAGTTAGATGTCAAGGAAATGCTTTAGATATTTTGCAATGGTGGAAAGTATATGGATCAGTTTCATATCCTATACTTTCCACCATGGTTCGTGACTTACTATCAGTGCAGGTTTCGACTGTAGCCTCGGAATCCGCTTTCAGCACAGCAGGACGTTTGATCGACGACCACAGGACATGCTTAGATCCGTATACTGTACAAGCGGTGATGTGCTTACAGGATTGGTGGAGATACGAGAAGCGAACACAAGGCATCGAACGGATTGCTATGATTGAAGATAAATTTGAAGAGTTGGGACTAGCAGATAGATATAATGATTAGATAATATTCATAAAATTGTAATTTTTATTTCTTAGCTTTAAATTTGAATTAAATTATTTCGAAAAAAGTTGCAAATGATAGTGATATGGGTGAGTAGGTGCCAACCTAGTTGGGATGTACTCATCTATTGTGATGCGACGAATTTCGAAATAAATCTATACTTGTAAAGGATTTACCGATTATTAATAAAGAAGTTATTTTTATCATTTTTTGTACTTGTAATTTATGTCATTTCATTTCAAGTTATTAATAAAATTTATGACATTTTTTATAATAATTTATAATTTATGGTTTTGTTAAAATTTAAAAAAATAAAAAAAACAAAATTAAAAAAAAAAAAACAAACCGGGCCGGCCCGGTGTCCGGCCCGCTCAGGCCCGGGCCCGGGCCCGGACCCGGCCCGGACCACCCGGGCCCGGGCTTGGGTTTTGCCCGGCCCGGATGGACAGCCCTACTAGAACCTAGGTTAATGATAAAAGATATATGTTAAGAATCCTCATTAATTATTTCTAGACAAAAATAATCTAAACGATATGTGTCTAATATATTTAGTCAGCTCTGTGGAGCTTTTACCTGTAAACTCTGTAAGAAGTTTTCAAAGGAGGAGAGTGTTAAAAAAAGTAAAATTTTTTTTCAAGGGAACTAGTAGAAGGATATTTAGTTTTAGAGGGTGTTTGTTGCACCCTTTTTATGGAATAAGAATAGAAATTGAATCTGATAGGGGTAAAATCGTAAATAAAGAATTTTTTTATGAATTCTATTCGTGAGTTTGGTCCACAACAAATTTATAGATTTTAAAATCTATAAAGTTAAAAATACGGTAAAAACCCAAATCTTAATGATTTGGGAGGATTTTTGGCAAAAAACTGTCACACCCGTACTATTATCCCATCCTCTTTTTTTCGGACTCCGTTTTTTTTCACAAACACTATATTATTATGAGACCGAATCATATTCTTTTTTTCAAAACAAACTAAAGAATAAAAGTTGGATGGTTTTCTATAAAGTTGTATTCTATTTTTTCATGTAATGAAACAAATATAGAAAGGGAAAAAAAAGTTTCTACGAATCCATAAACTTGTATTAAAATTTTTTATGGATTTGATAGGAATCCATAAAATAAATCGGATTCTTAATCTTATTTATATTGTTCCCATATTTTAGACCTTTGAGGAATTTTTTATTTATTTATGTTGTTGCTGTAATTACCAAATTATCAGCCGGCGTTAATAATTAGGCATTCGAAGGGGGAGGAATTGAAGAGAGATGAAGCCAAGGTGACGCAGGCATGCAAGCTCTTTGTGCTTAAATGCTCTGACTTTCGAATTTAATGCCTCTCGCCCTCTTTGTGCGCAGTTAATGGCTACGTCCACGTCAGCATTAATGAAGCGAAAGAGCGAGCCCCCCGGCGCCCGGGCACGTGTCAGGTACACCCCTGCCCGCTAATTAATGCCCCGCCCTCCCGTGACGCGAGACCGCGAACTCGCCCGTCGTCACCCTCTGTGGGGCCAGCTTTCTCGACGAGAGGGTGGGCGATCGGGTGAGGATGGAAGCGTGGTCACCGTCTGCGGGCGATGCTTCGGGTCAAAGGGTGAGGGGTCAGAGGGTTTTTAATGCTGGGTGGGACCCACAGATCAAACAGTAGTAGTACGGGGAGGGAGGCTGACGGCCCATGACTTCACGGATTCCCACTAAATTTTATCGTGCGGTTTTTTGTTTTCGAAGGATAGACGCGAAAAATCTCATTCGTGGCCACCCAAACTTTAACCGAAACATCGTCGTATATAAAGAAAAAAAAGCGTTCTAAGCCCATTTACGATGAAATCAAACACCTTCGCGTGAGTGTGTCTGGTGTTTTGATTTATTTTTCTTAGTTTCTCAGCCAACCAAACAGGAAAACAGACACAAAACAAACAAGGACGGAAAAATAGAATAAAAATTAAAATGATGAAATCCATTCATCACTTTCCATCGCCATTTAGATTAGTGACATACTCAAGCTAACCTCTGCTTCCTCTCCTTGCGTGTTAGAATCTCAAAATCATGCTAGTATCAAACCGTCTGGATACAGGTTTGGTAATATTTTTAAACGATATAAACTACATTTGTAACGGATTTAATTGTCGCTTAGATTAGCTTAATGATAAGTATGAACTCATCAAACTCATAATTATATCACTAATCCCCCTCTTCTCTTCTACACTGTAATGTAACTAGGCCGGCCTATAGTTTTTAGGTCTAATTTGTTAAGCCTTTTCACAAACAAATAGTAAATAAACAAACAAATAAATAAATTTAAAATAAAAATAAAATAAAATAGAGTAAAAATAGAAATCTTAACTGCACTTAAATGCTTTATAGCTTACCCGGCGTTGCACTCAAGTGATCTCTATTTTCAAACCAAACAAAAAGATTGCCCAGAATATCTAAATTTTGTAGGTAAATTCCTTAAACTTCTATAATATTACACATTAATGCTCCATTGTTTACATAATTTTCATATAAAGCTCTAAAGTTTGTAATTTGTGTCACTTAAATATCCCAAAGCTTGTAAGAGTTTTACTTTAGTATATTCTGATGTGGACGTAGATAAAATATAATGTTTGTTAGGATTTTTTTAACTATGGGACATCCATAGGCAGTATTTAAATGCTTTGGGCCATTTTTATTTGTTAGGCTTGAAACTGTAGGGCATTAAGGTACATGGCCCGGCAAAATATAGGCACTTAAGTGAAATTAAACCTTAAATAAAGTTGCTGCAGACGGCTCCATGCATAAAGGCCTATGAGCTCGGCCCTCTAGCGAATGGGCTTTGGTTTCTTATCATCCGAGAACTACGAAACGAGTTCGACGTAGGATTGGATCGGGTCCAACTGGACAAAACCCGTAAAAATATCGGACCGAAACGGGGAATTAGGGTTTTATCATCGTCTCCAACGACAGCAGCTCCTCAGCTAAAACCCTAATCGTGCTCAGTTCCAGTTCCGGTGCGTTAACGCTCTTTCTTCTCCAATTATAAACCCCCGACTGTTTTAAGTTCTGAATTGCTCTTTCAATTCTAACCTATTTGTTATTTTTTTTCGTTTTTTGGAAAAGATACGAAATGGGGAGAAAGAAGAAGGTGATCTTACCGCCAGAACTCCCTCCTGAGATCAACGAAGAGGAGGTCCAGGTCTCCGATGAGGACTTCGATTTCGTTAAGGAGAATCTGGACTTCGCTGGGTTTCTCACCAAAATCGATACCAAATCTATTGACAGGTTTGAATTCTTATGAATAGTGTCAACTACAAATTAGGGTTCGCTCCATTGATGCCTCCGTCCAAAAACAACTTTTTTTAAAAAATATGCTTTGTTTAGGTATTTAGTTTTTTTAAATGTTTTATATATCTGAAGCTAGGTTTATTAGTATCAGTGGCTATCGTAAGAATATGCTGATATAGGCATTAACTTTCTTATTGTGCACTACAATTAGAAATAGATTTCATGTTCCGAGTTGCATTCTTAACGTTTGTCAATTTTTCTGGGAAATAGTTTTGAAGTACTAATGTTGTTAATTTTTCTGGGAAATAGTTTTGAAGTACTAATAGTTTTGAAGTACTAATGTTGTTAATCAAGCTTCAATGCTCATTTTATTTTAGAGCTGATCTTAAAGACACGCCTTTCGTTCTATTAAACTTAGTCTTTCCACATTATGCTAATATTTTTTCTTGTCAAAGATAGTACTTTTGGTTTAAGAAGTGATTAGCGGGTTTCTTATGAATTTGTTCAACCAAGCTTCTTTTCGAAGGGAACCTTGATTCAGTTATAGAATTTGAGCTTCTATCTTTATTTTTTGTTTCAAACTGGTGTCAAAAGGCATGTTAACCGAGTTGCCGATCACAAGGAAGATGAGTTGGAAGCTCTTTATGAGAGGCGGAACAAGAAGGTTATAAATAAACAGGAGGAGGAAGACAGGCTAGAAGTAGACCGCGTTGATGCTCTTCCCATCAAGACGTTAGATGGAGAGTTGCAGTACAGAACAGGTTTTCCTTGTTACCTTTTATTTGTTATGCTTCTCTACCGTCTCTATGCGATGCAAACATGAAATATTTATACCTTTTGTAGAGTAATCTCTCGAATCTTTAAAAATTCATTGACATTCATGTGGTTGGCAAGTTGAGGGTTTAATGCCTATAGTCCAAGATGGTTAGGAAATCCCTGGGGCATTTCTATTACTCAGGGTACGTCAATGAATTCGTTGAGAAATTAATCTGGAGCTTTTTTCAAATAAAGCATGGCCTTATGGTTGAAGTGAAAGTGAAGGACTGACTTCTTATAAACTTACTTGTGAGCCTTAATGGAAATTTAGATATCTTTCAAGTTTTCAAATCAGATTTTAAATTTCAAATTACCTTAAGATCATTAACTGTTGTTGATATATCTGTTAGTTGAAAATTGCTAGCATTGCTTTGTAATTTACATAGGGAATTAGCCAATTGTGCAATATCATATATCTTACGTTGGTTTTAGGTAAACTAATTTTGCTTTTTTGCTTATACATCCATTATGGTTAAATATTGTCTACTAATCACCTCGCCTTCTCCTTGAGATGCATATTTAGTGTAGAAATTTGGTGGCATGCTCTTTGGAGCTTAAATTGTTTCATCGATGAAAAAAACCCTCTTGGGTGGCAATGCCCTCAGTCTTGGCTATACTTCCTTGGTTAGGATCTTGGATTCTTGATCTGATTGACGGTCTCATTTGATTGTATATTTCTACAAATTTTGTTGTGGATGTTGGTGCCTCATGGCCTCTCCGAATTTGACGGGGACGATCCTAGGATGCTGCTGAAGTTTTAGACCTTTAAGGAGTACAGCAATGACCAAGTTTTATTAGGTCCAAACCTATTCTTTGATTAAGGCTGTCTTCTCATCTCTTTCTAATAGAATATGATAGAAACACAATTAATCTTATGTCCATGATACTTTGTGTTAATAAAAGGGGCGGTACACAGATAATTCAACTTACTTTTGTTTAAAAAGGCATTTCCAATTGTAATAAAAACAAACATGTCTTAGATAGGGCTAGAAATTCAAAAAGCATTGTCAAGATTTTTTTCTATGTAAAGTCTACTGTACTTGATTTAACAACTTAATTTATAAAAACTTCTTCCATTCACTTTCGTTGGTCATGTATAGTCTAGTGTGGTTCTATTGTTCTATTGTGTAATATTCTCTTCAATTTTATTTTTTGTTTCTATCTACTTTTCCCCCTTTTTTCTGACTTTTACCTGTTACATGAGCTGCAGTAAAAAAGTCGAAATCTGTAGACCTATCTGATGAGAAGAAATCTGCATTTGAGGCGAAAGATAATGAAGATAAAGGTTTAGTGAGGTTGACAAAAGCAGAACGACGGCAAAAGCTGAAAAAACTTAAAAGAGAGGCAAAAATGCAACCTAAGGAGGAAGTTAAAGATGAACCATCCGAAGAAAGTCTACACTCGGCAGTGCTGGTACCTGCTCACCATGCAACTATAAGATATTAATTTTATGTGATAATTAAGTTGCTTTGGAGTTAAAATTCAGTTTTTTTGGAGTTCAAATTCATTTTTTTTCTTAGTATAAAATGCTTCCAGCTATTGTTTGTGCTGTAGAGAGTTATCTAGAAGCATAATGATGCCATGTTGGTTATGAGCATTGTTCAAAGGTGTCTCTGTGCTTAGAAGAGTAAGTTTAGCATGAGCATCATAGGTCCATAATCGTGTTTCCTAGTATTTATCAATCTTCATCATCATCTTCATAGCCTTTACCACTCATCATAATATGTAAACTATTATAAATTTGAAAAAAAGTCCTCATTTACATGTGGCTGTTAGTCATGGAGAACTTCTTGAAAGAAACAATGGATAATGGATTCAGGCATAAAACTTGAAGGTCTGTTGCAGATAAAGGAGGCTGGGGGTATTGTTCCTGCAGTTTAACATCATGCAGCAAAGGAGTCAACCATCCGTGTAGTTATTTCTTACAAAGAATATATAAGAGAGAAGTGGAGAGATTTGCACCTAGAATTGCACTAGCGCTAGCTTCTAATATGTGACATAATGCAGAAATGATTAAATAAAAACATTTGTTCAGTTTTCTATTATTCTCTTTACATTTTTGAATCGATGAGATAGTGGACATTATACTTTTTTTTGTTTGTTCCTCAATTTCTTGTTGTCTTAGTCATTTTCGGTTCATTGTTTTACTGTCACCAATATGTAGGCTACGGTGGAGAAAGAACTTTCAGCTGAGGAATGTTTTACAAGAAAGAAGTTCCGACTAGCAGAAATTGGGAAGCAATTGCTTGAAAATCCCGAGTCAAGTATCAAATCCTTAAAGGAGTTGTTGCAGATCTGTAATGATGAAGACCACAACATTGTTGTACTGGGGTTATTTTCGTTGTTAGCTGTTTTCAGAGACATCATCCCTGGGTATTATTTGCCTTTCTCTTTACTCACATTCTTTCTCTCCGAGGATGGCTCATTTCTGCCCACCAATTGTTATAACTTTCTTTCGCCCACCCCCGAACAGTCTTATAGTTACTTCTTATATGGCAAATGCAATTATTTAATTCAACTGTTTTGTTTGTTTGTTACAGCTATCGTATTCGGTTACCAACTGAAAAGGAGCTTGAAATGACAGTTTCAAAAGCTGTACAACAGACACGGATGTATGAATCTACACTGTTACGGTCATACAAGGTCCTCTTCCTTCCTGTTTGTGATCCTGCACACATCTCACCTGCCTGTGTAGGTGTGTGAGCGTGCTTGCGTGTGCCTGTTTGTCTACCTTGCTTGTTTTTAATTACATGGGTTGTAAGAAAAATTAAGATACAACTTACTTTTGGAACTTGATGTGCCCTTTTTGTGCTATGCAAATTTGACGTTCGATGTTTCTGATTGAAACCCTGTACTTTTCAATGAGTGGCTTGCACTTGTTCCTGTGATATACAGGAAAAAACTAAATTATATATGTGCTGATTCAAAAATTTATACATCTATAGCTTATGAATCAAGGTGCAGGAATCCTCTTTTTTCCGTCTTTCTTCAGATGTTCTTGTTCAGGATTCTCTCTGTCCTAGTATTGCTGGTTGCATTTTGTTATATAAGTATATAACAGTAGATTGTTTATAAAACCAAATGAACTTTAGAAACAATACATGGTCGTACATCTAACCCTTCCATTAGGTTGACCTGTCATGGCAATCCCTTTGGCCATCCTTTCTTTATATAAGGTTGACACCCTTGGAGATGTAATAAAAGACCCAGACATGAACAGTTGCAAACTGACAATTGCTCATTTGCACAACGCAAAGACAGTATCTTCGTCTGCATTTGTTACTTTTTCTTTGGACCTTCTCTTGTAGACAGTTTTGACAATTGTTTACGTGAGCTTATATGAATGTGAAACACCTTGAAGTCATTCACGTTTATCTGTTGTCATTATAATTCAACTGTTCAACACACCTTTATCACAATTTAAAAGTAAAATTCACCATCTGTTGACCAGTTAACTGATTTAAATGTTAAATGATTAAAATAGACACTGAATTTTAATTTTAAATAATGATAGAGGTATATTGAGCAGTTAAATCGCAGTGAAAACAGACAAACAGGAATGACCTCGCAATGTTTCATATTTATATAAACTCATATAAACAATAGTTAAAAAACACAGAAAGGACAGAAAAGGGAATGATTGCAGCAGAAGCTATTGTCCTTGTGCAACTGAGTAATTGTTAGCGTACAACTGTTCTTGTCTTGGTCTTTTATCCGGTCTGGAAGGGTGTCTACTTTATATACTAACTTACTAGACACATCCATGATGAAGTCCCTTCGTGTATTTTATTTGATGATGACACAATAATAGTTGATGAGAGTAGAAAATATAAATTGTAAAATAGAAAGCTGGAGACAAGTTCTCAAAATTAAATGTTTTAAAATTAGTAGAACAAAAACAAAATATGTGGAATGTATTTTTAGTAAAGCTAAAAAGAGTATAGTTTATATTGATGGTCAAGAAATATCTAAAAGTATTCAAGTATTCACTTTCATTATTTAGGATCAATTCGTCTTGATAGTGATTGAATCTAACCGGGATGCGTAAATTAAGGAGTGCTTCATGAGTCATATGCGATCACAAAAATAATAAAATACCTATAACTACTAATGGAATGCTTTATAGGATGGATGAACGGATCAGAATGCTGAGCAATTAAAAAAAGTACCACATGCAAAAATTGAGTGTAGCAGAAATGAGGATGTTACGATGATCTTGTGGATATATAGTATACACTAAAAGACGAGATAAGAAATTAGTGCATCTGTATCTGTAATCACTGTTTTAAAAAACCTCCGCCTAGTCCGTTTAGGCGTACGCCTAGGCCTAGACGGTACCTAGGCAGTCTAACTAGCGCCTAGCGCCTAGACGGTATTTAGGCTGGCCATCTAGATTTTACGAGCGTTTAGAGGAGCATTGTCTGCTTACGTGGATTGCACCTTGTAGGCCTTGATTGTGATTTTATGTGTCGTAGCCTACCCGTCCTCAAAACTCCATTAACCTTCAAATATGAACACCTTCACTACCTCCTCTGACCTTCAGCAAAACCTCATCGACCACCACTTAAATGAAGAAAGAAAAAATGCCCAGAAACCGCTTAGGCGTCCGCCTAGGCGACTAAGCGCTGGGCGCCAAGTCCGACACCTAGAAGCGCTCAACGTTTAATGTAACATTGTCTGTAATAAATTAGTGGTTGCTCCTATTGGAAATAAAATTAAAGAATCGACTAGGATGGCTTGGTCATATACAATAAAGACCTCTTAGTGAGCCGGTTAGGAAAAGTGATACTATTATAGTGGCAATAAGTTCTAGAGGCAGACTTAACATAAGTTGGTTGGAAGCAATTGAGAAGGATATGATAATGGTTAACATAGGAGATACCCAGAGTAGAATTGAACGGAAGAATATGATTCACGTACCCGACCACTAATATATGAGATAAAGGCTTTGTTGTTCGTGTTATTTAAATCAGTTAACACGATCTGCTTTTCTCCCAAGAAAAGAAGAAGAAAATCAGCTATTAGCATTAGAACCAGAATGCACATCAGAGGATCCATATTAGATTTTCGCTTTTTAATAGCTATATTTGTAGAACAGAACATATTTACTTGCAATTTTATCTATCTACTCCTACTTCTATGTGACATCTTTCTTTTTCTTTAAAAAAATCAGGTCAGGTATTTTTCATGGTCCATAAGTTTTATTCATGCTTACCCGACTTGTATGTCAAAATATGCATCAGGCTTATCTGCTGAGGCTTATGGCCCTGGAGAAACAACCCACTTTCCATCGTGTTGCTGTTCGCTGCATGTGCGACTTATTAATTGCCATCCCGCACTTCAACTTTCGTGAGAGCCTATTAGCCAACGTTGTCAAGAATTTGAACTCCTCTGATGATGTCGTAAGGTTGTTACATATCCCCTCATGATGCATTTGATATCATATTTACGTATTGCTCACGTGATAGTATTTATACTGCTAAAGCGCTCATTGACTCTGAATTTACATGATGATAGTACACTGATGTTGTATTCACGAGTTATTTATGTGAACATTCTTCTAAATGTGTTTTGAGAACAGTAACTGGATTGTTTTCTTGAGATACTTTGTCCATAAATGCTAATATCTGATTCTTAGCCATGGTCAAGTGGTCGTTTCAGATTTTGATGATTGATAAAGAACAAAACATTATCGTTTGTTCTATGCATTTGAAATAATCATAGAGGTTTACTCCTTTCTTGTAGGAAGCACTGCCGTGAAGCTATTAAATCAACTTTTGTCAACGAGGGGAAGCATAGGGGGGAAGCAACTCTGGAAGCTGTTCGCTTGATTGCAGATCAAGTGAAAGTCCATGATTGCCAGCTTCATCCTGATAGTTTAAATGTATGCATAGCTTGAGTTCCGTTTCTCTTTAAATATACCAGTGATCTTTGACCACAAATTTTCACTATGCATTTTCCCTTCACAAGATTGCACATAAGTCTCTTATGCTTAATCTGTTCATAATATTCTCCTGGCACTTCTATGTTTTGTTAGGTCTTTTTGTCCTTGAGGTTTGATGAAGATCTTGGGAAGAAGTCTGAACCTACAGAAAATGAAAAAATCAAACACAATAAAAAAAGACAGTGGAGGAAGGAGGAACCCTATCAATCAAAAGACAATGAATTTAAGAAAAGCAAGCAGGAATTGTTGGCTAAAACAAGAGAAGAGGTACTTCTTGGTGCTTGCTTCGTCCGTTACTCATTTTATTGTCATGTGCCGTGTTTAGTTTTAGCTTTTTTATAGGTCAGTGCAGATTTTAAGTCAGTTTCATTTGCTCCTGACCCGGAGGAGCGAAGAGGAATGCAGTCTGCAACACTAGCTGCTGTTTTTGAGACATACTTCCGCGTTTTAAAGCGTTCTGTGGAACCATATGGCCTGAGGTGTGCTTTATACTGTAAAAATATTCAGCTTTTTGTATAGTACTAGTTGAGATGCACGTGCAATGCACGTGGTTGAATATCATGATTATTTAAATTGATAAAATAGATTAAAAATAAAAAAAATAAAGTTTTTTGTAGGAATGATCAACTCAATAATCTCTCTCTCAAATAAAATATTATCATTATTTTATTTAAGCTAGACTATGGCCACGTGATCTACTATTTGTGAGTTATAAATACATTAATCTAGTACATCTCTGTTTATTAGTTTATTGAAGTTTTCAAAAGATGGGTGATCATTCAATTCACAAAGGAATTTAACATATAAATTTACTTGCAATATGTCTATTAAACTTTTAGTTGTGGTTTGACTCATATTCATATTAACTTTTAGTTGTTGTTTTACTCATATTTACATTATCTAATATTCTCATTTAATTTTATAGCTCATTCTTTGTATCATAGAAGTAAAATTGAAAGTATGAAAAATTATTTTCTTACGAAATTAGAGCAGAGAGATTATAATATATTTTGTCATGTGCTTTAAATATAATTTTTTTTCTTTGATGTAAGATCCCTATTAAATCTTACCCCAAACGATGTGAATGAAAAATGCTATTATAACTCACTTGCCAAAGGGCAATTGTATTGTATATAGGACATAACTCATATGGAATATTCATATTTGTTAAGTGGATTTTGCTCGTATTCAAACTTTTTGGCTTTATAAAAGACACAAAAATTTGGAATGCATAGCTTATATATCATAAAGAACATATTGGTTCATGAAGAATTTTCCCTAATAACGATAATATTACAATGATGTTACCATTCAGTATTAAATCAATTTTATTATACAAGATTATATGATCCTTTTAATAAATTATTAAGTATATATATGAAAACCTCGATGCTTATATCCAGTAGTTGGGCTTCACAAAATAGGTTAACTTTACATTGTAATTTGCTATTTATAGTACTGTTGGTAATATCATTACATTTCCCCTTTATCTTATTATTCACGCTTTTCTGATATAAATTCTTTTGCTAATAACTCAATTGGCTGTATTTAGTTTTTATAATATCAGAGGTTAGAATATTCTCTTATGTTTAAAAAGTGTAGACATGATTTTCTTAAAAAATATATACAAATAGTAGCAATAATATATATTTCAGTTCAACTCAAACATTGGCTTGAAGCCATTTAGAGTGAGGTATTTTCTACGCTAGAATGGTGATATAGTGATTACACAGTTCAAAAGTTAAAAAAGAAATTCTATAAAGGAAAAGTAATTTAATATGTTAAATTCAACAAATAATTTATAAAATATACATTAACAGTGCAGATAGCTATAGAAAGTAAGGTATATATCTTCACGAAAATTTCATAGCGAGTGACCAACTATAATCATCCTAATTTAAGCATAAATAATTATTATTTTAGTTACTAATTTGATACGCGTAACTATGGAATAAGTCTCAAGCAAAAAATAGGAATTGAGGTTATATTATCCTGTAGGTAAATAAATAAATTTTATTAGAGCTCCTCTTAATATTAAATTTAAAAATAACAATTTAAATTATTAAGCACCAAATATTAGCTCATGTGAGAAAGTAGAGTAATTTATGGTCCATATACATATATAGTCAATCAATCAAACGTATTAAAATTATAACGACCACAGTCAAAATTATATGATGGCTTCACATTAAATATAATTTATAAAAAATAGTACATTAAAGTCAAAATCTTTTTAATCACTATATAGATTGTCTGAAAATTTTTGCATATATAAATCATATTGCTTAGAAATAGTGATGTGCACGCTTAATTATGACCTAATAATCTTATGAACGACTTACTCTTCAATATCATCATCAATTGACGTATTTATACATTACACTGAAAATACAATAAAAATTTAGAAAACTACAAAATAAAAAACCTCAAAAATTTTAAAAATTATAAAGGAACACCCTAAAATTTTATAATTTACAAATACACAACTATTAAACATTACATTAAAATCAAGGAATTACAAAAGATCATTGAAAAATTTTAAACTTTAGAGGGATAATTTGCAATGTACTAAACTTTAAGGGTATTTTTTTATAAATTTTAAATTTGATAGATTTTCAATTAGTTATGTTCTTTTCTAAAAAGTTATGAGTAATATTGACCATGAAAGGTTTTTTCTAAACCTATATTTTTGAAGGGCGTATGATATTTTTTGTAAAATTTTAATTTTCTAGGGGGATTAGTAATTTTACATATTCATTTTAGTGTCTACAGGTTAGAAATTCTCATGGTATTTTTTTTTTAAATTATGAATTTTAGGGTGTTTATGTAATTTTTAAACTTATAAGCCTCTTCTACATATTATAAGTTGTTTACAAACTATTTATAGTTCTTGTCCTTTCAATTTACTAACGAGTTTGAAATTTTTAGGGTGTTTTTTATAAATTTAAAATTTTAAGGGTTTGTTTGTAATTTTTAAAACTTTAAGAGCATTTTCTATAAATTATAAATTATGTAGGGGATCTTTTTAATTCCTATATTCTCAATGTACTGTTAGGTAGGAAATTTTCAGGTTTTTTTTATAAATTTTACAATTTTGAGGGTTCTATTTTGCAATTTATAAAAAGTGTTTATTACAAATTTCATAAATTTTCAGGGGTTGTTTGTGTTATTTGTAGGTTTTTAGTGTGTTTATATGTTTAAAATTATTAAGGTGTTTTTTTTATAAATTTTGAATTTTTAGAGGTGTATTTACAATTTTTAAAACTTACAAGATATTTTCTACAAAGTCAAAAAACTTTCAGTTTCTTGCTAGCATATGTTTTTCAGATTTCTCACTGAATTGAAATAAGTAAAATTTGTAATTTTTAAGATACTTTAATAAAAATTTGAATTTGTAGGAGTGTTTTTGCAATTTAAAAATCTTGGAGGATATTTTTGACAAAGTTCAAACACTTTTAGGTGCTGGCTAACATATGTTTTTAAGATTTCTCTGCGAACTGAAATAAGTAAAGGATTTGAATTATATCAAACATATCTCTTTTATCTAATAATATGTTAAGTCTCATTATGAATAGGATAAATCATTTAATTACCAATTTAAAGAAGATGGGATAATTAGAATAAATTAGGATAACAATGTAACATTCAAAAAAGTTAAGGGTATTATTGTTCATGAAAAGATTTTTCCGAACTCGTACTTTTATAGGGAGTATGATATGATAAAATGAGCTATTTAATATTTTGCTTGTATGCTTGGAGAAGCATTATTTTGAATGACACCAACTGAACATGAATCGTGTCATAAATCTATATAACGTTGTCGCATTTTGCAACCATGAGTTGGATGGAGTTGTTACTTTATCATATCAATTAATCTTATTTTATTACCTTTCAGGTCTTCATCAAATTCATTTTCCGGGTCTGGTGGATTTGGGGATAATCCCTTACTTGGTCCTTGCTTGAATGGCTTGGCGAAGTTTTCACATTTGATTGATGTTGACTTTATGGGTGATTTAATGGGGTGTCTCAAAAAGCTCGCGGGATATAATGGATCAGCTTCTGAAAACAAATTTTCAGTTTCTGAACGCCTCCAATGCTGTATAGTGGCATTCAAAGTGATGAGGACTAATCTGGATGCATTGACAGTAGATCTGCACGAGTTTTTTGTGCAGTTATACAATCTTCTGCTTGAGTATAGACCTGACAGGTTTGTATCATAGCCTCATGATTTGACTTTTTCAAAATCAGTTTAGAAGCTATAAAATGCTAATCAATGGATTTATTTATAGTACCTCTAATGGCCAGCAGCTAATACATCCTTCGCAGTATTACCGGTGTTATTCTTTTGCTTGAAAAAAGAATGAAATACTTTTTGTTCATTATGCTGAAACGCTTGAAAGTGTAGGCGTTGGAATGTAAACAATGGTTCATGTTTGTTTTTCTCTTCAACCCTAAATAATGAAATGCTGTTTTTTGGTTCCATATCATGATTTTGCATCACTTTCTTGTATTATGCATATTTAAGGGCTAAATTATCTTGCAAGCAGAGATCGGGGGGAAGTATTGGCTGAGGCTTTAAAGACCATGCTGTGGGAAGGAAGACAACAGGATATGCAGAGGGCAGCTGCGTTTATAAAACGTCTAGCTACTTTCTCTTTGAGTTTCGGATCTCCAGAGGCTATGGCAGGTAGCTTCTTCTTCTAAGTATTTGCTCCCTTTTCTTATTTGTGCTGCTCTCCTGACTATATCAACATTTCCATTAGTTTACTGTTTATTCTCTCTAATTACATAATAGGGGGAAGATTGAAATTGGTGTATTTGGTATGATAAGACTTGATTTCATAATCATTTTGTTTGAGAAAAAGCGATATTTGATAGGTAGAAAGAGATACAGGTGCCTTGGTGGTGACAAGGGATGTTTGTCCTATGTTTTGAAACTTGAATTTTATGTTTGGAGCTTGTTGGGATGTGCTATGAATAAATTATCAACACCATATAAAAGTTGATGAATTTAAAAAAATAGAATGTTAAGAGGAATGAGGAACAAGAGAAAAATGGACCTTGAAGTCTCAGAAGGATCCAGTATCAAGTTCCATTGTAAGATTTGTTATGAAAGAATTTCCTTTATACATTCCAGTAACTGAATGCATGCGATGATGGTGCTAGTAATGAAAATCTGGAATGTAGTAATTGTCCATCTTCATGCTTTCTGAAGATACTGAGTATAGGTTACTGGTTAGAAGTTAGAATTATTTGTTTCTCTATTTGAGATATTATCAGATTGTAACTCCCTATGGGTTTTTACTTTTATTTTTACTTTTTCTTTTTAGGATCATACAAATTATTTTCTCAACACGTTCATGTGCCAACTATGTTACCTGGGTACATCTAATACGGAGCCGTACCCCTACCCAACACTTGTCGTACCTGTACCCTTACCCGACACTTGTTTGACACTCCTTAGATATATGCATATATTTATTCAGACCGGTACTCAATCATACAGTGCATGTTAATTTAAGACACATCATATACTACTTGCGTACATATTTAGACATCCATATTTGTAACTTGTTGGTTAAGGGTTGAGTTTGTTTCAGCTTTAAGAATTACGATTTAAAAGGGTTGTTTATATTTATAGCTTAAAACTATGATCATATCCCATGAGTTTCAGCCATGTCCCCGTAAGCTATCTTTTACAACTTTGCCGTGTCCCACACCCTCATCCGTACCCGTATCCGTGCAACTTAGTGTGCCAACATAATTGGCTACAAGGTAACATGCACATAATCATTTTCCCTGTTGACTCCTTTTGTTGTTCTCGATATGACTATAATTCCCTATAGCAATATGTTTACATGCACATCATAATTAGGTTTCAATGTGACTCCTTTTCTTGTTCTTGACATGAATACAATTCTCTATCACAAGTCATTCCACCCTCATCACTGGTTGATGCATGGATTTGATGGAAACCCGTCAATACAATGCGAAATCCCCCTTCTTGTTCAGCACTGTCGTTTTGCTATTATATTTTCCATTATTTCATTTTTTGATGTCTGAATTCAACAATCACACAAAAGTACACACACTTTGACTTCACATTAGAAAAGGCCGATAGGAACTCAGAATTAGATTTATTATTATTGTTGTTGTTGTTGTTGTTGTTGTTGTTAATTTGCTCTTTCCAATTTTTGGGCTTACATCTTTTTCCTTTTTTGTTACAAGTGCTGTTGGATGTTATTGCTATCATTTTTTTCCTCAATCTTTTGCGTTAAACACAATTGCAGCCCTGGTCACACTGAAGCATCTACTTCAAAGGAATGCCAAGTGCAGATGTCTTTTGGAGAACGATGCTGGTGGAGGCTCCCTTTCTGGTTTAGTTGTGGTAAGAATAAGATTTTCACCTTTTTAAGGATTGCAGATGCAGCCCCTTTATCATGAGCTTTTAGCTACTTATCACTTTGTGCTAATTTTATTGGCACAGACATCAACTGATTATGATTGTCAATGCTAGTTTTCTGCTAGATTTTAAACTTTCGTGGGAGAATCGCTTGGGAATGTTCTCAAAATTTTAAATCTGATAATTACATGCTAATAGAACAGAACATAGGAGATAAATAGCAGCACCCTCATAGTACATGAAGTTTGTCTGCAATTAACCCTTATTCCGATCATTTCTAATGCAATTGACCTCTGTTTTCATCCTCTACTCTTATTCTCGATTACCAATGTTGCAATCTCCAGAGATATCAACCAGAAGCTTCGGATCCAAACTTAAGCGGTGCGTTTGCATCGGTCCTTTGGGAGCTGAGTCTTCTTTCCAAGCATTATAATCCCATAGTTTCATCAATGGCCTCGAGCATATCTACAATGGCAACCTCAAATCCCTCTCTGAATCAGACTCATCTCTCCAGTGCATCTCCTCTGCAAGCCTTTGAAGTATTCTCTATAGAGAAAGAGCTCTCCAGACCAATAGCCAAAACTCCTCGTTCCTCAAATCGCAAGAGGAAAAGGGGGAAGAATCAAGATTTCATTGTTCTGAATCCTGATAGTATTAAGAATGTTGAGAGTTTGTTGAATGAGGATACAGTCAAGAGTAAGTTGGAAGAGCATTTTGAAGTGCTCAGAGATATCGACGAGAAGGAGAGATTAAGAAGCGAGCTGAATCGGACCTTGGCATCGTTAAACATGTATGAAGAGTACAAGCAACAGAAGAAAAAGAAGAAAGAGGAACCAAAGGTTGGCAAAGGTAAAAAGAGAGTAAAAGTTCTGTGATATTCCTTAATTTATGATGAGCCTTTCAATTTTGAGCTGTAACTTTATTCAATTTGGAATAGTAATGCACAGTTTTGTTATTCTGAGAGCGGCAGTATGCTGAAAAGACTCGTCTCCCTTCGGTCAAATATTCAAAATGTCTATGGAAAGCTAACATAGCGTTTGCATATTTCTATACAGTACTAGTATTTCATGCGATAGAAATCTATGAAGGACTTCAATGGATGAATAATTGATGGGAAATAATGCTGCAACGGTAAATGCTGCGGTTAAGATTCTGTTTTCTTTCTGGTTAGCGACACGATACTTACTTGGACGGTTGGAAAGAAAAGTATTACTTTCATTTTGTAGGCGGCAAAGTGTATCGCAAAATAAAGATTTACAATTGCCAAAAAAAAAAAAAAAACAAGCACTTGAGTCGAAATAAAATGCATTCCTGGCAACAAAAGTTGCAAAACCAAATGCTTTAGTAAATAACCAAAGCATAGTACTTGCATGAAATACATCTTCTTCTATGACAAAAATACAGATATACAGAATTACAAACTACGGACGTTGAGCCTAACTTTCTGTTGCAAGCACTGCATGCAACGTATCTAATATTTGCTGCATTTACAGTTGTTGCATACCAAATCAACCCTTTCCCCTCATGATTTCACCTTCGTCGATGCACAACGAACAACTGATCGAAACTGCTCTAAGCTGCATGGGATCTTTAGGATCCCTCGCTGCTCATAACCAAACTCTTGAGCGGCCAAATCCAGCAAATTTGCGAGGCTCGGATGCTTCAAGAGCTTTGTTTTCACCAAAACTCTCTCTTCAACTCCTCTCCCTACAATCATCGGTACGTAGCCTCTCGGTGCTTCTTTGCCTATTTTCCTCCCCATTTTTCTTCAGTTTTTTGAGAACTAAGTTTGAATTTGAATTATATAGGAATGTTGAGGGGGTTTAGGGTTCTTGGCTTTTAGAATGATTAAGTAGACAATTTAGAGGGTTGGCCTGCGTACATGATTGCTTTGTTAAGACTTTTGTGATTTTGATAGCTACTTACATCAGAGCCTTGCATTATTGAGTGTTTTGTATTTACGTGTTGCCCTTTCTGAATTCAAAAGGTTGTGGTTGTTGTTGATGATGATGTGCGAAGGACCGACTCATATTTTTGTGGATGTATATATTACCCTCGTCATGACGTGTATAATTATTGAACAAAAGTATGCGTATAGATGGGTAGCAGGCTACTTCAACACAAATAAGAAGTGTCAGGGATTGTATGATTGATCATTGATATGTAGAATTAAAACAAAAAAAAAAAAAAAAACAAAAACGGGTAGAATGAAACTTGGCCAAATCACCTTTGAGAAATTGAGAAATGACGATAGATGATATCCTTTATTAAATAAAGGTCAAATTTTTGAAATAGACCCATTTTAATATTAATTCACCAAAATCAATACTCCCTAAATTTATTTATAAAAGTCAATCCAGTTTTAGCAATATCGGTACCGTTGGCTGGCTGGGGCTACGCCGATTTAACAAACAACACGGTATACTAATTAGCTGGGATTGGTAACCGTGTTTAGCAAAGATAATCAAGTTCAAAATAGCATTGGTTGGCAACCACTACTATTTGTGAAATGGGTTCTAAGTAGACGTGTTTGTCAAGCACCGTTATTTTGAACTATAATCTACGATTAGGCTGGGTGGCTGCCCCGTGTAACGAGTACACCGTGTTTTTTAATAAACCGATCCAGTTTCGGACAACTAGGTTCTCTAAATAGGTACATCCTTAAAATTCATGGAGTGGTTCATGGAGTGCGTCTGCAATTAATTAAACTCTTTTATGTTCCTTAATTCATGATCTCTTACCCCTAATCTCTACCGATGTTGCCAGAAATCGCTTGGTTCAGCCCTCGGAGAGCTCAGTCTGCTGTCAAAACACTATAATCCCATAATCTCATCAATGGCTTCAAGCATGGCAACCTCCAACTCCTAGCTGGATCAAGCTCCTCTCTCAACTATCACTCCTCAACAAGCTTTAATTTTGTCTCTATTAATTAGCTCTACGTATTTTTTCCCCCTCTTCCCTTCAATTAATTTCTAAGGCACTTAAATAATTAACTGAGATCCGTGATTTAAATAACACTGTGCTTCTTTGCAGGACTTAAATCATGGAAAAATCAATCATTACGTTTAACGGTGTGAGTACTCATTAATCTAGCTTACTCCAAAACGATTCTTCTGTTTATATATTCCTCTCAATTTTACTTATTTGGAACTTCAACACAAATCTTAGTAAACTTAGTATTTTTTTTCAAATATCAAATTTATATATTAAACGATTCTTCTATCAAATTTATATATTAAACCGAAACTTAGTAGCTCACCTCAACGATAACTACTCTGATTGAGTTTTATAACATTGAAGCTTGATGAATGCGCGTATACACGCACGCGTACGAAAACAATTTGTACGTGAGACCCTTTTGGCTCTCATTTTAAAATTGAACCGAAGTATCATTATTAACAGGTACAGCAGACCAATAACAAAAAAAATAAAAACTCTGCAAGTACTTGGCTGAAGTTCAAAAAATTGAAGTCAGATAATAATGTATTAAAATAAGCAAGCCAAGTAATTTCATTGAGTTTTATAACACCGGAGCATGATGAATGCGTGTATACACACACACCCCTCAGAAATACAACAATAAAACAATCTAATATTGTTGCCGCCAATGCTTACAACTTTAGGTGGAGTAGGACATTAATAATAATCAATGGAAATAGTCAATTAGTATAGTTGGTTCTCATTTTATTGAAGGAAACATCATTATTTTTTTACTTATTAAGAAGAACCTTTATTTCATGAACAGAATAGGGTTAATAGTACTCTCTACCTCATTGAACAAAAGGCAATTAAGTTTACTCCTCAAAATGATGAATGCTTTTTGGGTCACCGGTCCAATCATGTTTATGTTGGATTTAATCTAATAAATCTATTTGTGGGCACATATGATTAATCAATGTGTATTGCTATCTTTCAGGATAACCCACTAAAGTGATCAATTAAGTTGGGTTAATTTGGTATTTAAATAAGTCATGGGGTTATATGTGCAGATACCAGGTTGTAATTGTAATTTATTGAGGGGCTAAATTACAAAAGTACAACATCTATAAATAAGGGGTTATGGTCCCTAACCTAGGGTTAACATTCTCTAATTCTCTACACCCCCATCTAGCTAGAGAAATTCGGATTTGGAGAAACCCTAAGGTTAGAAGATCATCAAAAACCCAAATCAAGTTTTCATCCATGGATTCAGGTATAAGCTTCCGCTCTTTTGTTTTTGTTAATATCTTTGAATTAATCATGGCTATATGGTTTTAGATCTCAAGTTTTATGATGTAGATCTAACAAGTGGTATCAGAGCCACCTTGATTAATTCTTAGGGATTTAAGTTTTATTGGGTTTTTGATCTTAAACCTCTGGTTAAAGATTTATTTTTTGGGTTCGGATGAACAGTAACGAAAATTTTCGGATGAACAGTAAAGTTTTGTTCGGATGAACAGTAAAGTCCCCCCCCGGATGAACAGTAACTTTTTGGAATTTTTTGGGATTTTCTTTGATTTTTCTTCAATTTTTTCCAATTCTGGATCTGTTTTGAAAATAAAAATCAAAGGTTTTGGGTTTGGCGGCGGCGGTTTCAATTTAAAACCCTAATGGTTCATGGCGAAAATTAAGGAGGTGGTTACCCAAACGAACCTCGCGTTCGTTCAATTTTAACCGAGCTTCGCGCTCAACGAACCTCGCGTTCGTTCTAAGGTGAACCTCGCGTTCAACTCAGGTGAGCGTCAAGCTCAATTTTAACGAACCTCGCGTTCGTTCTAAGGTGAACCTCGCGTTCAACTCAGGTGAGTGTCAAGCTCAATTTTAACGAACCTCGCGTTCGTTCTAAAGTGAACCTCGCGTTCGTTCTAAAGTGAACCTCGCGTTCAACTCAGGTGAGCGTCAAGCTCAATTTTTAACGAACCTCGCGTTCGTTCTAAGGTGAACCTCGCGTTCAACTCAGGTGAGCGTCAAGCTCAATTTTTAACGAACCTCACGTTCGTTCTAAGGTGAACCCCGCGTTCGAACTTCGGACGAACCTCGCGTTCGTACTTCAGACGAACCTCGCGTTCGAACTTCAGACGAACCTCGCGTTCGTACTTCAGACGAACCTCGCGTTCGTACTTCAGTCGAACCTCGCGTTCATTTTTTAAACGAACCTCGCGTTCGTTCCCAAGTTGAACCTCGCGTTCTTTTATCAAACGAACCTCGCGTTCGTTCATTTTCAGACGAACCTCGCGTTCGTGCTTAAGTGAGTCTCGTACTCAATACAGTCGAACCTCGCGTTCGAAGTTAAGGGAACTTCGTGTTCATTATGGTTAAGCCTCGGCTTTTCATGGGTCCACTTTGGTATACTTAATTTATTCAATTAAGTTATGGGCCCTAATTAAGCTGTGAGACCCCAATTAAGTTTTTGGAAATTCAGTTGATTTAAATTAAAACTTTTTAATTTAAATCTAATTTGGTTTTTAATCAATTATTTAATTCAAATATTATGACACTAAGGTATTAAGGTTGTCTCTCACTCCAATTGATTAATTGAAACAAGAAGTTGCCAAAGTAACCTCTCTTGTGTAGATTGTTCATGAGGAATGTGAGATGTTTGTGTGTATGCTTTCGTGTAAATATTTAATCGGCCCAAAGGAAGGTTAATATTTATTTAGACTGTATACACATCTGCGATGATAAGCGTATGACAATTATAAGGTTTACATGTGAATAATGAATCGATCCAAAGATAGTTTCATTATTTGACATGAGTTATTGTCAATGTTTGATCATTGCAACAAGGTATCACTTACAAGTTAATATTACTGTCCAAAGACTTGATATTAATGTTGTGCCGGTATCTTGGATGGGGATTGTCATTATTTGAATTTTATTGATTATGGTTATTGATGTGAGCATTTTTGTTTTATTTCAGCTAATGCATCTGCTGCAACAATTTCTGCTAACATCAACTCAATTCCCATGCTAAATGGGACAAACTTCAAGGTTTGGAAAGAGAACATATTAATTGTTCTTGGCTGCATGGATCTTGACTATGCATTAAGAACTGAACAACCCCAACCT